GCAACTCCAGGGTATGCTCTAAAAGAAATATATAACTATAAGCAATATCTTAACATGGGATAAAAAAGAGAAAATCTACAGCACTCTAGGTTGCTTATTCTTGGGCATATGCTCATGCTCCAGCACCCTTCTATAAAGCTCTAGCCCAAGGGTGGGCAAAAGGGCCTCCGTGGGCCAGATGTGGCCCACCAAGCAAGTTGATCCAGCCCACGGAGGCCCTGCCGCTCCCCTGTCCCAGGCCAATGAGGACCTGGGGGCGGGGAAGCGTGCGAAGCTTCCTCCCACCCTGTGAGCAGCACACAGCGCTTTGAAGCACTGCGCAAAGGGCAGGAGGAGACATCATGCACTCCCCCGCCTCCAAGCCCTAATTGGCCTGGGGGCAGGGGGAGTGCACAAAGTTTCCTTCCCTCTCCTCCCAGCCCCGAGAGGAGCACATGGCACTTCACATGCTGCCCCGCTCCCAAGCCCTGACGACTCTTCCCGCCCTGTGAGCAGCACGTGGCACTTTGAAGTGTCGCGTGCTCCTCGCAGGGCAGGGTAGGGCAGGACGTTTTGTGCTCCCCCAGCATCCAGGCCAATCAGGGTCTGGGGGTGGGGGAGTGTGTGAAGCCTCTTCCCACCCTGCCAGTGGCATGGGCGCCTAGTGGGAAGAAGGGGCAAAGGGGCTCCCCCACCCCAGACCTTCCGGATTAGGCCCTGCCCCCTGGCCAAAAATTATTGCCCACCCCTGCTCTAGCCTGTGGCTGAATCAAGTGACCAAGTCAGTCACACAAAAGCAAACTAGAGCACAGATGCTTCCTGTAAGACGGAGCTTGATCAAAGAATAACAGGATCAGGAAGTAGGAGGATGCACTCTGCATTAGACAGGTATCAGACAGCTACAAAAAAAAGGAGAAGTAGCAGCCTCAGCTGGGAAAATCTTTAGGAGAGAGAGAAATGTGGGAAGGAACCTCAAAGCTTGGGGAGGATATCTGGAAGATTTGTATTTCAGTTAACAATGTACTGTTAATTTTGTTAATACGCTAGATCAGAAGAAGTGTCACTTGGACCACATGAGTCTGCATTCATTGGGGAGTGAAAGAGGGGAAATGAGACAGCAGACACTTGACTAGAAGTCTGGTGGCAATCACTACCACATTAATGTTAAAAGGCCTGACTCAGCAGCATATCAGAATCAGCAATAGGCCACAGGAGTCCTGAGACAACATTCACTCTATCTTGAAACTCTTCTTTCTGCTCCTGCTGACTCTCATTTGTCAGAAGAACGGTAATTAAGTAGTCTGAGGGACTTCTCACACCCCTTCTTCAGAACCCTCAAATTTCTCCTGAAAGCTTTCATAGTTTGAACATGTTAACTTCCCAGATGGACAAGACCCTCAATGCTTTACAGACAGACAGACAGACAGACAGAAAGGTAGATAGCTTGGTTTGGGGAGGGACTGCAGTGTGAAGGTAGGTAGCTTGGTTTGGGGAGGGACTGCAGTGTGAATGTGTACATTTCTTATTAGACTGTACCTGGAATTGGTCACGGGCCTTACCTGGGAGTAGACAAGGAAAACAAAAGCTATTTCCCTATCCTATGGAGGTGATCAACTATCAGCTAAAACTGTTACTGTAATTCCCTAGAGCTCGAGGCTTTCATTCCCAGATATAGGGGCAGTGATTCCCAGTGCTACATTTCAACTGAGATTCATGGACTAATTCAGAGTAGGTGTCAAACTTTCTAATAATGGTGTTGCTTCTGCTTAACCCTGAGCTGAATTTCATGGTATCTCATGGGGAGAATTTATGAATGTTAATAGTAGCTTTTTCTTCAATCTTACTAGCCCTTTAAGACTGGGATATCTGCCACAAAGTATAAAGAGTAGTGTATAGGGCCCATATCTCAGTCTACCTCATTGCAGAAATCAATGATGGAAGAGAACCAGAAAGCAGTCATAGTCTGTCTTAGCTAGTTACAACAGGATGCTTCTCCAAGGAAACTAGATTTTTAGTTACTTCTTAACAATCTTTAATTTGATTGACAATTTCTGAGGAGTGTTGGTATGTTCAAAAAAGCTACCAAAATATGCTAAGAATGATAGATGCATCATTTTCATAAGGTACTAGAAGGTAAAGGAAACTGCATAAATATCTACTCTCCAACACACTGGTCTGCTGCAGGGGTGGGCAATAATTTTAGACGGTGCCACTTTACTCATTTCTGAAGTGTCCTCGGGCCACCCCAGAAGGAGTGAGGCCAGGACACATCCATGCTCCCCCTCCCACAGATCTTGATTGGCCTGGGGGAGCACATGAAGTCTTTGCTGCCAATCTTCCCCTAGAGAGCACATGAAGTATTCATCCCTCTCTAGGCACCCGCCCCCTTGCAGGGCAGGAGACAACCTCACTTGTTCCCTCACATGCAATCAGGGCCTGGGGGCGGGAGGAGTGCACGAAGTCTCTTACTCTCTGCCCCCATCTTGCAAAGGGCAGACAGCACTTGCAGGGCGGGGGCAGGGAACGAGAGACTTTGTGCATCCCTCCCGCCCCCCCGCCCGGCTGTCAGTGGGCCAGATCCACCCACTTGGCAGGCTGAATCCGGCTCACAGAGGCCCCATTGCCCACCCGATCTACTGCAAAAGCATGATAAAGTTAGGGTGGGGAACAAAAAAGCAATAAGGCTGCAGGATAGAGGAACTACATGTATGTATTTTTTTTTGGTTGAGTTTATTTCCACTGTTTCTCAATCAGATAAGACAATTTGTCTGAGGCCTCCAGATTCACCTTCTCAAAAGGAGGGAATGAAAGATGCACTGACTTGTCTGAGGCCTCCAGATTCACCTCAAAAGGAGGGAATGAAAGATGCACTGAATGCAGCTCACTGATCTCACGCTCACTGATCTTCACGGTCTTCCCAAGACAGGAAGGGGGATCAGATATCTAATTGATGTCATGGGTGCTTTTGTAAGTCTCTTATTACCCTTTTTACCTCCTTTTGTTTAGGAAGCAGTGACCTCAGACTTCCTTTTGCATAGTATACTGTCAAGTCCAGATGCTACCATCATTCCTTCTTTGTCCTTTAATTCACACTTTCTCCCTTCATTCTTCCAGACTGCACTCCTTTAGAATTCACAATAATCCAAGTAATTTCAGAGAGTTTCTACAGATGCTGTTTAATATAGTCATATCATATTCTTATATGTCAAGGAACAGCAGCGTGAATATGACAAAGGGAAAGGGACCCTTAAAGACACTGTAGGTGTCCTGAGCAGCAAGCTACTCCTTACAGGAAGATAAAGTGACTGTCCAGGAGAGGGACAGGGGGCTGACCCATAATGGGGGTACGTGTTGCACTAACCTCCTGCCTGTTATATGAGTCGTTCAAGAATCCATGGTAACGCTTCCGGAGAAACTGGCCCAGATTCCAGTGCTGTAGCATCCCAACCTGCACACATCGAAACCAGAATTTGCCACTATCCCGGGCCAACCCCAGCAAAGGCGTCTGAGGTCAAAGTCCACACAGAAGGGCTGCCCAGAGAGACTGGGGGGAGGGGGAGGTTCCCGTGCACCTAACCCCCTTCCCTAAGGGGAGAGCGAGCAGACAGCCGAGGTACAACTCCCAATGCGACGCTGCTTCGCGCGGGTACGCACCTGGGTGAGCTGCCCAAATCCCTGAGGCCACGCGCGCTCCTGATAGGGGTCCCGAGGATAGGCCTTCACTGGGGAGCGGTCCCCGTGGCGGTACAACTGCAAGACGAAACACCTTTGAATTGCCTCCTGCCCCGCACCCCGCCGCCGCCCTTCCCCTCCCGGGCGGGGTCTCGCCCAGCCCCGAGCTCCCCGGCTGTCGACCCTCACCAGCGTAACGAAGCGCAGGCTCCGGGCTTGTGCCAGCGCGAGGCTGATCCCCAGCAGCAGAAGCGCGAGAGGAGCCGCCAAGCTCCAGCGCGGCCTCCCAGCCGCCATCGCTCTCCCCCACCCTGCCTATCCCTGACGCTGCTGCTGGGCCGGCCCAGCCCGCCGCCCGGAACCCCGGCGTTGCCAGTCGCGGGAGCCGCCCGGACGCACATCCCCACCGCACACCGGAAAGAGGGAGGTACCATAGAAACGGGACGGTAAAGGGAGTAGAGACAAAGGAGCAGCACACCGGAAGTGAGTGAGAGAAGCGCCGTGGGGTGAGGGGGGAGGATGTTTGTGCCTGTTGCTTAGGGGCTGTTACCTTCCCCAGCTTCTTTCCCGCGGGCCCCTGGTTCCCTCCGCTTGGCGGCTGTCTGGTCCTCAGGCTGTGCAGATGCACCCCCGAGCCAGTGTCCATGGGGGTGGCGATGGATGGGAGTGGGCGAGTATTTAACTGCTTTGGCGCACATGCAAGTACCAGGGTCTTGCTCGGGATGCCCCCACCTGCTACTGAATAGGTCTGAAAAGTCCGCCACGCTTCCAGCACGGGTGTGTGCTGCATTGGATCCCAGATGAGCCTGACAGCTTTGATGGCTATCACAGCCCAGTGGCAGAATGCAACTAGTACTGGCTGACCTCCAGCCAGATATAACTGCATATAATCTGTTGAGCCTAGAGAGCTGGCATCCAGTATGTTCTTAGCTCCAACGAATGGGAGTAGGAATTTAGAGTACAGAAGCTGAGTTTGTACAGCATTCCTAGAAACCTAAAATAATCTATACCTTATGAAAGGTGCCTTTCAAAAGAAACAATGCAGGACTATGTCACACTTTAAAGACTAACAAGATGGTTTATTAGATGATGAGCTTTCGTGGGCCAGACCCAATTCCTCAGATCAAATAGTGGAAGAAAATAGTCACAACCATATATACCAAAGGATAAGATTTAAAAAAAATGAACACATACGAAAAGGACAAATCATTTGTCCTTTTCATATGGTTTCATTCATTTTTTTCATCATTTTTTTTAATTGTGAGAAAAGCTGCTCCATGTCTCCCTGGTCTGCTGGGGGGAAGCAGCTAGTGCGGGGTTTGTAAGTAGGGATCCGATGTAAGTTGGATCCATGTAACCCGGGGACTGCCTGTACTAAGAAAACATTGGGAGACACCATCTTATACAAGAATCAGCAACTCAGCTCCTTCAATTAAGCTGTTAGATTTCTCAGCAAGCATGTGCTGAGACTTGACATCAGATATGGTTAGTAAAGAAGCCACAGTCTTTCCAGTTATGGTGCTATAGAAGAATTCTGAAAATACAATTAAATTCTTTAACCAATGAGAAAGTATTGGAACTAGCAAATGCTGGTAGCAATCAAAAGCACATTTTAAGAAATTCAGTGGGTGATGCATGTTTACAAGCACTAGAAAGGAAATTTGATGGCAAAAGAACTGAAGGCTGAGAGAAAAGATTGTGGATGGGTGATGTGGTATCCCAGGTGGATCAAAAGGACTATTCACCCCTAAAGAGATTGGCAGAGAACTGTATAGAATGAGTTACCATGGTTGCAAAGCTCCAGGAATGGAGGTGCCAAGAAGAAGAGTTTTTAGTCAATCAATGTTAATGTTTTTACAGAAGGTTTTTAATATTGAATATTGTACTAATACCACTGATATTACGCCAATGGTTGGGGAATTGCATAAAAGTTCTTTGCATACAAGGTCTCTTGTTGCTATGATGCACATATACTTTGTATGTTTCTTTGTCAGGTTTTGGGTTGCCTTTATATTTTGACATTGCTGGTAGGAAAATAGCATTTGTATTATGTTGTGATGTGATTTTTATTGATCAATACTGGGACACAAAGGAAACAGTAGATACATGTGGGTTTTTTTTAACTGGTCTGTAACTCAAATGCAGTTTGTTTCCATTTGCTCTAGATGGCTTAAGGGTGAAACTAGCAATTTTCAGGCCAAACCAATTTTTGAAGTTAAAATTATAGGATGACTAAAACAGGACTGGTTGCAGCCTTAACTATGGATAGGCCACTGCCTCTCCATAATATTCAAGTGAGCAATCCCATGCTGTCTGGGAAGGTGGGGAGAATGGACTGGGTATGTCCTAATGGGTCTTTCCATTTCTGGTTAATATGACCCAGGAACTTGTTTGTCTGAGCAAGTTGTATCAGTCTAGCTTAAGGAGTGATTTTTGTTAAACCGATTTCATCAAACTGGTACAAAAGGCTGTATGGATGCTCTTATTTTTGTTTTAACTGGGCTTATTTAATTGTAGTTAAGGCAATTAATAACTGGTTAAATGTAAATGTCCATCCACAGAAGGGTGGCACTAGTTTAATAAAATAATTTAAAAACACGTTTAGCTTTTTTTGTACTGACAAGGCTTTGGCAATATCCTCTGGTAGCTTTGAGAGTGGAAGTAGTTTGTTTCGTTGAAGCCACTCAGAAAGGAGCTGTAATTTCTTTGAGGTTCAGTTGGTGGTACTGGCTAGATAAGACCAGTATTTTTATTCTAATTACTCAGATCTTTCTACAGACTTTCTAAATTTACTGCCCCATTTCCTCCTTCTTTCTGTGCTCTCAGTGTCCTGTTGAGATTAAGGACTGATCGAACTGGGATTTGGCCCCGACTCTGAAATCTGTTTTAATCTGTATTTAAAATCAATTTTAAAGGTAAATAGATAGAAAGAGCCCCCTTTTTGCTGTCTGAATTTCCTGCTACAGGGTTGGCTCATTATTTTTTCTCCTCATTCTTTTCATTGGGAAAACATGAAGTACCCAGGTGATGAAGGGGAATAGAACAAAGGAGAGCCAGAGAGATAGGAGACCAAACATAATGTAAAAGGGAGAGAGACAATAGACTGACAATAGGTCAGGGAAAGAATAATGTTGGAGACCTAGAATGAAAGCAAAGCAAGAAGTGAGAAAATCTCATTTCTTTGTGTTTTCATTTCTTCATAGGGTGTCCAGATGTCCAGTTTTCCACTGAACACCTGGTCAAAAAGGGACCCTCCCCAACCTGTTGAAAATGAGTGAAGATGGGAGTGTGGGGAGCTAGTGATGGAGGAGGAAGGATTGAATGAGCGGGGTGGGGCCTCACAGAAGAGCTGGGTCAAAGGTGTTTGGTTTTGTTCAGTGAAAAAGTGTATAACCCTAAGTCAGCGGTTTTCAAAGTTTTTGGGCTCCGGAGCCCTTTACATGCGTAAAAATTTATGCGGCGCCCCAGCGGTCCACTGATTGTATGTGTTGTACCCATCGATGTTTCCAGTGTGTCAGCCTTGCAGAGCCCCTGGAGAGGGCTCCGCGTAGCGTGTCAGCCTCGCAGAGCCCCTGGAGAGGGCTCCGCGTAGCACAGTTTGAGAAACACTGCCCTAAGTCATCTTGTATCTAAAGAAGGGATGCCAGCCTGGAATAGCCTGTGGGGAGAGCTGCAGGGCAGCATTTAAGGGGATTGGCATAGCTATGTGCACGGAGTCCTAGGCCTGGACTGGAATAGCGGGGGGGCTGCAGGTCAGGATTGAAGATGTTTAGGATAGATGTGTGGGAAGTACTGATAAACAAGAGTGGGGTCCATCAAGAGAGCTGGGCAGGAAGGAACCATTCACTGAGCTAGCCCATACTGTGCCTGATGTTATTGGCCATTTACTTCAATGGAGATTGAATACTCCCCTAATCTAAAAGTAAATATCTCTGTAACATTTTCCAGGTGAAACACAGTACATACTCTTTGCATCCTAATTGTCCCCATATGTCTGAGGACGAGATGCCAATGAGGAGAGAGAGCAGTGAACTCAATGCTGGGGGTGAGGGGGTGATCCCGATATCTGCAAGGGACTAAAATATGGTGACCAGGCTCAAAAGCTGTCATGGTTTTGCTACTGTTCCCTGTCTGAGCTAGACTAGGTCCCAGCTTTTCTGGCAGCTGGCCAGGTCGGTGGGAGGAGCTGGTTCTCTGTTTGTGTTGTCAAGCAGGCCATGCTGCCAGGCTGTGGAGGGCAGGGTGGGGAGGAACGCGGGGGGAGGGCAGGGGGTGGAGTTGGGGAAAGCTCAAGCATGTGACTATGAGGCTGCTGCTCACATTACATCACTGTAACTGCAGCAGCAG